TAAACTACCAGGTCAGGCGTTTATTTTTAGACTCTCCGGTGCAGGTCATTGGAATGTAACACTGTTGCACATGTATACACATAGAGCTTTATTTCCACAACAGGCGAGAACAAACCTCATCGCGCTGGCGTTATTTATTCCATACTTATGGGCGTTTTAAATTAGGCTTTGAGGCTTGCGTGTTTGTACGTAAAACCACAAGAACTGAAATTTAAATGCCCGCGTGTATACACGTAAAACCACGTCGATGGGTTAATTCAGTTCCTGTATTTGGTTGGGTAGGTAATCATAATGGGGAGGGAAAGAAGGTGGGAGATTAGTATAACACACCCTGGAAACATTCTGCACCATACCACTATCAATAGCATTTCTATGCATAAAGAGAACTGTTTTGCTGTGATTGACAACTGACAATACACTCCCTACTCCTTACTTCCTACTGTAAGAAAAGCGATAATTGAAAGTCAAGCTTCTTACTTCACCATACAGCTAACATAGCTCACCCAACAATGCTGCCAAGTCTACTACTCAGCATTGTATATTCCCATATGTAGCACAATTTTTTTTAGAAAAAAAGGTATATGGTATTTGGACAAATATAGTAATAATACGGAAAGATGAATCTATTTCAAATGTTCTGACTAGAACTTAATTGATTTTCAATTAGTTTATAATGCCTCATTACCTTCGGAGGTTAACAAATTTTCCCTTCTTATATAACTAAACAAAGTGGTGTAAAAGAAATATTCCTGTTTTGGACCTGAAAAGTAACCAACTCAAATACTGACCAGAGTCAATTATAATAATCAGAGTTACTTGTGGTTAATCTCCATAAATATGAATGCACATTCACTGCAGCTTGGACTGATTCTGCTTCCCCCTTCATGTATCATTATTCATTAATACAGGAATAATTTTATATATGAGTATGAAATCTGTAGTCCATGTTCACTTCATTACAGTAAAACAAATGGGAAATCTAACAGTCTCAGTTAAATGAATGAAATAAATGTTTCAATGTGTATTTTGAAGTATATATTACCCATTCAAATATTGCAAATAATGATTTAAAGAATTTAATGCAACATAAAATGCAACTATGGCTAAAGAAAATCACAGTGTGCAAAATAATAAATTTTCAAAACACTATATAAACCAATAGAACTGCATCAAAATTAAAACTCACCTTCTTGATAGTTTCCACAACCTGTGGATGTTTCTTCAGCATAAGGGGATCAATTGTCAGTGTTGAGATTTCATCCAGCTGAGTCAAACAACTGTCTGGATCAGCCTTAGTCAAACCAAGACTACATTTAACTAGTGCATCCAATTGTACAAGGCGAGATTCCATTTTTAGCCATCTGAAAATATGCAGCACAGAAGTAATGAAAGAATGAATTACTCAAATTTCAAGAGTGTTAAGGTCTAAGGACAGTGTCTGAAGCTTTGATAATTATAACAGAGGCATAAATTTTCACACTGAACAGTAAAATACCAGGAACCACTCTGTAGTGTATGCCCACAGCATACATTTCTTCAGCTAACAAAACAATCATGAAACCCATATAGTGGTTTTGATTCTGTCTGAAACTTGTCATTCACTTCACTATAATGACTAACTTAAAAATTGTACTCCTCTCCCGGTATTGTCAGGGTGATTAAGTTGAGAAGAATGAGATTGGCAGGGCATGTAGCATGCATGGATAGGACAAGAGGTGTGCACTGGGTGTTGGTTGGGAAGCCTGAGAGGAAGAGACCTCTGGGGAGACCTAGACGTGGAAGCCTGAGGGGAAGAGACCTCTGGGGAGACCTAGACGTAGATGGGAGGATAATGTCAGGCGGGATCTATGGGAGATAGGAGTTGAAGGAGACTGGATTTTGTTGGCCCAGGACAGGGTCCGGTGGAAGGCTTTGGTTAATTCGGTGATGAACCTCCAGGTTCGGTAAGCCATCTAGTCAGTTAGTTATTAAATCGGTGTGCCTGTATAAGACCATAATAGATTTCAAAATTCCCTAAAAAATTACTTGGTGGAGTCCATCATGTGCCATGCGCACACAAAAACATACATGCATCCATGCACACAACAGCCTGATGTAGAGTAAAACCTGAATCTGTATAACTTTGTCCCTTACGGAATTCTGTTTCTTCTTCTACTGTAATATGTTGTGCATTAACTGTAAATATATTTCTTATATATTTGGATACATTTTAGACAAGTACAAAAAATTGTCCCTCTATAGTTCCCACACTTCCCATAAGTCATATATTATTAATCCACTGATCAGACGCTATGCAAAATGGCGGATGCAATACGAACAAAGGTAAATAATGGACTCATCTTAGGCTCTGATCACAACATAAAATGTTACAGTCAGAGCTTTAAATAAGGCATACTCCAATACACACCCACACACCTATGGTAAGAAATCAAAAACCTCATAAATTATCATAGTACATCACCATTAAGAGTACATACTTCAGCTTATTCTTTTTCCGGTCCATAACACGATCCTTCCTGAGAATTAATTTTTCTTCGTTTTTCAACTGGATATTACGTTTTATTTGCTTCTTGATGTCTTCAGGAATGAACTCTCCACTCTCAATCTGTGATTTCAATCGGAGTGCATTTCGGTATACTGCCTCATCCCACATCACTCGAGCCTTCTCATTCTGGAATTTTCAGTATAAATTGTTATGAATTCCACCTACACTGACTGAGTTTCTACAAAGTTAATACACATATATTTTAAAATACTAATTAGTAAATACCTACTTATCCCTTTAGAATTGAACTCTTACCTACTTATCTTCTTATTCAAATAACAATTTCCATTTACGTACTTTCTACTACTTCCACCATTTTTATCACTAAAAATATGTGTGCAGGGCAGCAAAGTCTTCAAAACAAGGCCTTGGTTTTGTTTCTACATCACAAACTATTCAGTATTCAATATTAAACACATATAATATGTAAAGATTTTTCTCTTAACCTGTTAATTTTAAAAATGAAGTATTCATAAAATAAAATGTCTGCTATATTAATCAACTTGAATTTATAACTTTAGAAATTGTGTGTGTGTTTTTTAAGTTAAGGAAAATTTATAATGCTGTAAAAACTTGTGCTAACACAGTGGGTTCTTTGTTCAAAAACACAAGATGGATTTATTTCACACTATTACAACTGATTATTTCCTGAATTAATGTCTGTCACTTCATACATCACGGTCCTAATTATCTGGATATAAATGTTTGCTCCTATGTCATAATAATGTACTTCTGGTCTGTGGTGCAATTCTGAAGTTGGGAGAAGCCAGTGTACACAGCACACTGATGTCTTGTGACAATATAAAATGTAAGTTATCTCTGTAAGAATGTATAGGACTCATGTGCATATGGTCATTTAATCCAATTCTGAATGTCAGAATTTTTGTTCCATGCAGCCACTATGTTGTTTAACAATGTACAAATTTTAAAAAAAAACTAATTTTGAAGCTCCATCACCATACATAATTGTATGACCTTACATTAAATGGCAATATAGTCACTTCCACCTCAAAGGTCATGCATCTGCCATGCTGGTATTATCAATAGTATAACATCCATACCAAATTTCATCAGAATCTGCCCAGCAGTTCTCAAGTCGAAGCATGTGGACAGGGAAGACACAACCAGCCCTATATGCATTAATTTTGTGCACATCATGCAAAGAACATACAATAACTTAAAATATACAGTACCTTGAAAGACTTCGGGCGATCCTGGTCTACTTTTATTTCGACAACATGCCCTGAAAGAGTCTTTGCTATCAACACCACTCCTTTATAAGGATTGGGATTCACATTATCTCCTTCCACTTCATCAGCTGCCACTTCACCATCTTTCCTTGCTCCCTGTGCTGCTTCAGCACCTGCCATATAAATCAAAGCTAAAATTAAAAGTGAGGTAAATGTGTAATTTCCATGGAACACCAATAGTCACTAGTATTTATATTACCATATGGAATAGTAGGGAAGTGTCCCTTATGCAAGCTTTACATTTTTCACCTTAGACATTTGTACGGAATTACCTGAAATAAAGGCACACAGAAATTCAAAATGCTCTATCGTAGATCACTGCATACTGCACATCAAGGTAAATAGATTCTCAGAGAAAGGGAATAAATAAAATGTTAGAGCAAACAATGAACTAAAGAACAGTATGAAATATGCTGTAAAGACCAGCTTTTCAGATATACAGGGTATACACAAAAGAATGGTGTGGTTTCAAAAGTTAATAAAAAACTGAATACCAATTATGACGATTACATTCTACAACTGGATGGAGCTCCCCCCTCCCCATTTCCACAGGAATGTACGAGTGCATCTCAATCGTGTTTCTCCACAGCGCTGGATCGGACGTGCTGCTGCAAATGGAGACAACAACCTTCTCCCTTGGCCAGCCCGTTCGCCAGATCTTACACCACGCGATTTCTTTCTTTGGGGGTTCGTTAAAGACAGCGTTTATGTACCACCATTGCCCACGTCCATCCATGAACTTCGTGATCGGATAACGCATGCACTGCAGGCCATTACAGCGGACGTGCTACACCGGGTCTGGGATGAGTTTGATTACCGTGTGGATGTGTGTCGTGTGATCCAGGGTGCACACACTGAAGGATTGTAATTAACGCATGAGAAACTTGGACAGTTGCCGCCGCTGACGGTGTATGTTGTGCCCATGTAAGGTGAGAAATAAATTTTTTATTAACTTTTGAAACACCACCATTCTTTTGTGTATACACCCTGTATTCTAATACAGCAGTAATATGGCAAACAATCATTTAATATTACTATACTTCAGGAAAAAAATTACAACGCAGGAATTGTAAACCTCTTTAAAGTAAGATTCAAATAAAATATATCAGTATAAGAACAATACTGAGAACTGCAAGCAGAAGTAAGGAGGATTTTATCTTAAGATTCCAGCCTACCTACTGTCCAACAGTACAGACTTTCAAGATTTGTCTATGGTTATCAGTATTGTTTAGTTGGCTATTTTTTAAAATGTGATTTTCGTTCTAGTCCTACACATCTTGAAGTATGAACATTATCTTCAGGTAACGGAAGTTTACAGTCCAACAGAAAAACACAATTTGGCTGAAGTGTTAAGTGTGCTAAGCTTTTGAGCAGATGGTCACAGAACTGTATATTACAGAAGTCAGTACTTTCATTGCTTATAACTGTAAATATGTTACCTACAAATTATTGTTATTATTATTATTGTTACTGTTAGTTATTATTACTGTTATTAGCAGTAGTAGCAGTGTTGTTGTTTCTCATTCTACTGTTGTTATTATTTTCTTTACTTAAAGATGCCATATTAAATCTGACATAACCCAAAAGATATACACAATCACCATGATTGTAACTGTTAACTTACAAACAATATTTTGCATATAATTTGTAGATATGTTTATAATCTATCTTTGTACAAAATGTCATTCCTAGCCTTAAAGATTCATTATTTGTTTGACTGAGGCCTAAATACAAAGTTTTGCCATCATGAAAAGTATCAAGGAGGAGATTTGAAACATAACAAGAAGCAATTAAAAAATTAATACTAAAATGGATCCTATAGGAATACTAGGTGCTTGGTATGTGAGTGCTGGTGGTGATCATATGAAATTCTGATCTACTGCTAGGTAACAAATAAAGCATGAAAATGGCTAGAAACTAAACTTCTAAATAAAACAACTGTCATCTGGTTGCGAAATGTAATCTTGTAGATGTTTACTGATGTTTCAGAGCTCCTTGCTGCCTCCATCACCAGTGCAATCTCTGATGACTAAAGCAAGAAACACCTACAAAATGTCAGTAATCTTCTACCAGACAACAAAGAGCAACAACCCAGATGACAGCCATCTTCATAATCACCACCATGAAAACCTGAAATCTCACTTAATACAACTACTACTACTACTATGGCGTAACAGCCCAAAATCAAGCCCTAGCCTCCTCAGAGGCTTCTCAACATATATAATTTTTTTTACAGATGTAGGGGTGTTGGCCCTACGATCCAACCCCCAACCTGGAGGACCAGGGTATTTCTCTTAGTCTGGTCCCTACCCTTGACCTGTCCGGCAGTTATATAAAAACAATAAATTTTTGCTCCTGTATTATATCAAGAATAAGCTAAAATATTCAAAATATTTAACAATACTGGGTGACACAAAAGAAGCACTACAGCTTTTAAGTTGCCATGATGCCCATTCAACAAATTCCTACTCAAATGCATTTAATTGTCTGTATCTTTACAAGTTATCGTCACTTCAAAATACAGTGCAGTGTTTGTTAGCAAGTCTGTTAAGCCTAAACGTTGTCTTGTCTGTCCAGATAATGTCCCTAATAAAATGGGGATGGCCCCAAAATTCAATTCAAATCATTACAGATTCTTTACAAAGATTTTGAGATTTCAAGACTTTCTAATTGTTAACTCCCAACCTGAGCCACCATGTACATTTAAAATACACAAAATGGGCTTAAGATTGTTTTAAAAATGTTTTTGTATCAATGGTCAGCTGTACGTGCAATCTCATTTCACCTTCTCTTCTGTCTAGAGCCCCTGTATGATTATAAATGGTGCATAATCAGTATTGAATATCCTTAGTCAGATGGCATTTGAGAGACAATAAATTTTCAAAGTTTTGTAAAACTCAGGTGATGAGTTACTGGTTTTGTATAATGAACACTTTGAATTTACAAATTAAACTTACATCAAAGAACAAAACTTCTAATATTAAATTGTCTGCATAAATCATTCAACATGGGCCTCAAATATTTGAGAACTTCTCACAAAAAATACTAGTAAGAACTATATTTTACGTCCTCAACATACCATCCATAACAAATCTAGCCGAAAAACGGTCAACAAGACTAAACTTGGGCATATTAATATAAAGTTCCATCTTGTCCACAACAAAATCATTTCTGTCTTGTAATTCAGTATCTTCAGGCATTTTCCCATCTTCTGCAAACAGAGACTTTCTTGTAGGAGAAATCTTCAAAGTATTTGCTCCATCCACATTAAAGTCTTCTGTTGTTAATGCATCACAAATTCCAGGTAATATCACTTCAGTCAAAACACCTGTGTTTAATTTCTCACCAACATCATCAGATGCTCTTGATACTGAAGTTTCTATGGTGTTTGGTTCATTTACATAAACATCTTCAGCTGATAAAGTATTATGTGATTCATGAATTTCTCCATATTTTGATAGATTTCCAACACTTATCCAATTGCTGACAAGGCCACAAACAGACTGATTGAGAGACATTATCTTCAATAGAGTTTTGTCCTTTAGCTATATGTCTTGTCTTTACACATCAATTTCTGTTTAATGGTCATGTTAGCATTGTTGTCAAGTGTCAGTTGTTCTTCATGTACATTGTTGTCATTGTGTGTAATTTTGTGCTGCCAAGTAGAATTCACATCTTGCATGAAAGTACTTTTATTAAGAGGAAATTTCTTTGAATTCTGTGAAGTCCCAAAAGTTTCTGTATTGTTTTCATCCCATGACAAACCACAGAGATCCTGATTACAGTGAAACCTCGATGGATCGTTTTTAGCGGGGGTGGGAAATAAAAACGGGAAAACGATAGTTGCGGGAAAGCATTAAAAATATTAAAAATTTTAAAAAAACTGAATGTTTCTCTTTCAAAGTTACATCTTTTTACCAAAAAAGTCTTTAATGGACAACTGGTTTGTCGAAACTTACGTTTTAGGCCAAACAGAGCCCTTTCCACGTTCAAAATGTTTTCCTCGTCACGTTCACTAATATTATGCACTTCACATTTTCCAATGCAGCATGTGCTTCGGCAAAACTCGGCACAGCTTCGGGCTCGCATTCGTCGTCTTCCTCTTCCTCACCACTCCAGCCCCCTTCGCGAACAATAACAGGAAGAATGAGACACGAGATGAACCAGAAGAATGAAAAGTGTCGCCCGCCTTTCCTTCGTACTTATAATACGTAAAAGCATTTGTGAAGAAATTCACAGTGCACATGCCATCTGGCATCGCTGGAACGAAATATGAGTGCACCCTAACTAAACTCGTAAAATTTCTGACAATGGGCACCGCCATTCTCTCCAACAATCACCCCTGCACCACTGACCCCTCATTCCAAAAGAATCTGTGCTGGTTGGGCGACATAACAGGTTACCGCTACTGTGTATTCCAAAAACATTGTGCGTCTTTCGGTATTAATTTATCTCAAAACCCATCATTTTAAATTCTAAAAATATCGCGTAAATTTCGTTATATCTCAGAAACGATCATTGCGGGAAAATTGTGGGCCAGGACCAAGATTTTTGAACGATCGATGCGATAAAACGATAGTTCGAGGAACGATAGAAGCGGGGAAATGTAACATTATTTTATATGGGATGTATCCGGGACCGAACAAAACGGACGATGCATCCGGGAAAACGATAGTTCGGGGAACGATGGATAGAGGTTTCACTGTATTTGATTTTTCATATGAACTATCAAGAACACTCAATGTATCATGTACCTGAACACCCATTTTTAATGTTAAACCATCAACTTCCTTATTACAAAAATCAGGATGTTCAACATGGTCAACATGAAGATTCTCACTTGTTACCAGAATGTTATTTTGACTGACTCGATGACCAGATGATGTACAAGATATTTCCTCTATACTTGTGTTTAATTTTTTACAAGGCTGGAAATTGCTTTTAATTCTTGGATGATGAATATCCTTTTTAGTGCTTACAAAATATTCAATTTCTTCACTTTTCTCATCCCCAAACAACTGTAATTCTTCCCCACCAATACATGATTGGCAGTTTTGTACAAACCACTACTTCGGACCTTCGTCATAAGAAATAAACTGATTTTGATTTCCAATGTTGTTTTGTACTGCTGTTACTACCTCTCTTCTAGATCTTAAAAATATTATTTCATTTATGTCACCAACACTCCTCTCTTGAACTGGCACAAAGTCTTTAAGGCTGATCTTCAACAAATTTTAGTCACTTATTTTATTAAAGCCTTCTTCCTTTGAATGATCCTGAATAGTGGCAGGGATTGTGAAGAGAGGGAGCATTGGGTATTATGCTGCAAAATCTCGCACTAGTAATCAGATCTCAAAATGTACCTTGTTATGACAAGATATTTGACTCAGTCCACACAGCTTCAGAGAGAAGTGGACTAGATGAAAGCAAGATGTTCTAGTTTGACAACCAGCCTCCAGCAAGAAAGGGTCATTGATCTCTAGATGGGAATTTAGAAGATTCTCAACCCAGTATTTTGGCATGAAATATCATCCACATGCTGAGTCTGCTTTTGGACATGTCACTGGGTAGACCACCTCCATTCTGCATGTGCAATCGAGGGAATTTCATCACCCAAGTACTCCTGCCACCAACCCAATTGGCCAAAACAGAACCACAGTTCGCAAGGCACATGTCAGTCAAGTTAAGAGGTTTCATTCAGCTGAGTCATGAACTTCTTTCTATACGAGTCGCCAAATCCGAGGAATTTTCTGTTACATTTGTAAATATCTGTACATAGTGTTTAAAGATGCAAGATTGATTAATGTCACAGAATTATTTGGAGGGATCACCTCATGAAACAACTGTGATGTGAGATGCCCTGAGGTAAAAATCCATGTGGAATGTAGGTATGTGTTATATGGCCATGTCACTTGTGTCATATTATGAAACCCCAAAATGAGGGCCAATACCTGAACTGACAACTTGCTCATACTATGTAAGATTTGAGGTTTTCACAGCGGTGAGTATGAAGATTTCTGTCTTCTGGGTTGTTGAGCTGTGTAGTCTGGTCGATGGTTACCAACATTTCAGAGGTCATACTGCCTCCGTCATCAGGGTGATGAATATCGCCCCAATGACGGAGGCAGTATGACCTCTGAAACGTTGGTTAACATCGACCAGACTACACAGCGCAACAACCCAGAAGATAGAAATCTTCTTGCTTATACTACTCAGTCTTATATACCAATGTCAGATGTCTCAGTAACATCATGTCATTACATGCTGTCTGTAGTCTAGAGATTAAAATCCCTACGAATTAAGTAATTTGTGTTTCTAATGTAGAGTCTGTTATTATTAATCTTCATTTTGTTTTCTGTTAAGCAATGCTAAGAACATCTTTTTTCAGAGCCTTCCATTTTTAAACCCATCACCATGACATGGGCACCTGTGATGCTCGAGATATGTGCTGCCAGTCTTCAATCCATTTCTAGCAAAGATGACTAAAGTTTGGGGCAGGAGGATGGCTGTCTGAAGAAAATGAAAGGAACTGCTGGTTTAAACATGATAGGGTGACAGCCCACAGTGAAAACACAAGAGTTTTACTACAAGAGTTCGTTGGCGAGTGCACTGTTCAGAATGGCTTTTGACCACAGCGATCTCCAGACCTTACTCCACCAGACTTCTTTCTGTGAGGGTATCTCAAAGACATAGTTTATTAAAATAACCCACAAAGCTTGGAGGAAATGAAACACAATACTAAATAAACTTCTGCCAACAGACCCAGAAACACTTTGTAAAGTAGCACAAAACAGAGTCTTGTCTTTGAGAAGGTGGTGGACATTTTCAGCATCTGCTATAAAGATGTTAAAAACAACTTGTCTGTCTTATTATAATGTGTCACAAAAGCTTACTGAATCCTGGGCATTGACTTTACAAGATTTTTATTCAACTGAATTTTGTAATAAAGACATCAATTAACAAACTTGCATGTGCTAGCTCGCTCACACACACACACACACACAGCCAGAGAGGAAATAAAATGGCTTTAGTCAATTTATAACTTTCATTAACTGAACATTCTATAAGACACAAAGAAGCTTGTAACACTACCTCCTTACCTGTAAAAGGATGAGAATCAACAGCCTTGAAGGCAGCATTCCGCTCTGACCTCTTTTCACTTGGTGGTGCATTAGCCTGTGCAAATAACACATACAACTTCAACAATCACAATGGTGAACAACTTGGGTCCATGAATATGGTTGTGTCCTGGGATGTAGTGCCATGTAGTCTGGTAGATACTGACTGACATTTTAGAGATTATTGCCATAGTGATTCATGCTGTCAGGATCTATCAGACTACATAGTGCTCCATCCCAACAGGTAACCATCTTCATACTTGTTATCATGAAAACATCAAATCTAACTTAGTACTATCCTCTCTCCCTCTAATTTTTTTAAATATTCCCCACAATTATTTGGATGAAATGCTGTTGAGAACATAATTACACACATGAGGTAAGGTATGATTCATAAAAAACATGAGGTGCCATCCTAGATTCTATTAAAACAAGTTGCAAGTTTCCCATATGGATATGCCAACATCCTTCCTTTCTAAATGGTGTCACGGCAAATTGCCACACCAAGTCCAATGATTCTTCTCAAATGCAGTATTTTTTTTGGAGCTCCTATCTCCAACAAATTGTATTTTATTTCTGGTATCAAAAGTTTTAAGAAGCAAGGGAATACAAAGAATGGGTGTCAATACTGTTCCTAGCCAGAAATAATCATGGATATTCATAATGGGTGGCCAAGCACCTCAGGAGCAGTCCTCGTTCTCCTGAGGACTGAGTGATCCAGCATGAGATGGTATAAACCCAGGGGTTTCCAATCCAGAAAAGGCAAGGCCTGGGGAGGCAGGCAAAGCTACAAGAAACCAGCCCTGCAACCAAAGCCCCAATGTGAGACAGGCCGGGGGGGGCACCCCACTGGGGCAAGGTGTATTTCGCTCATGGTACAGTATGAACAACACCTTACATGCACAGAACATGCCATCAGTTTGAGAACAAATATGTCTAAAATTTTGTGGGTGTGTTGTTCACATACTTTTTCCATCCTAAGTCTGTTTCCTGGAATTTGCTTGCTCTCTATAATTATTAACATCAAACAGATTTTAAAGTTGTATTTCTATGTTTGTGGCAGAACTCGATGCAAACTCATTCTTTCAAATCTGCCACTTCACACATCTTCATTCAAAAGCACATGGCAGGACTGAAATAAGCTGTAACTACACAGCTCTGTCCTATGATCAGTCACCACCTGCAGACAAGCCAAGAAACTTCTGGCTAACACCTCATATCAAACACTGTATGAATTACAGCCATTTTTGACTTATAGTACACATCTGTTTACTGAAATTGTATTTTGCTGGATATAGGCCTACCACCAGCTTTTATTACATAAACATGGATGGAAAGCATAGACCATGCCGAAATACACAGAGTATCCTCACACATTCTATGCAGTGAAACATAAAATAAAAGAAACTGTTCAAACTTGACATAATCCATAACCATCATTACCTAACTGAACCAAGTTTAACCTAGACTAACCTAACCTAATATGATCAAACAAAATCTAACTCAAAAAATTACCTAACATTGCTAACCAAAAGTAAACAAACTTTACCAACCCACCTTAATATAAATGAAACCACCCTAACCTGACATAACCTAATGATTGTGCACTAATCACAAATGACACTGGTAGTTCTGATCTTACTGAAAGTTTATCTGTGACAAATTGCCTCAGCAACACACCTCTTCATTCTCTTTTGCTTCTCTTGTTCATCACTGCTCACGGCAAAGACAGGAATCAGTGAGAGTATTACGCCATGTTTAAAATTTTAGAAATATTTTTATGAATCACTTGGTATGAACTGATCTGATTTTCAACACTGATATAGCAATCTGCTTAAACAATGTTTACCATCAAAATTTTTAATGTTGCCATTCAATACCTGTAATTGAACAAATGAAATTTAGTGGACAAATTATTGGAATTTGGACACTATAAACCAAACCATAAATGGCAGCGGTAGTATCGGTGCTGTTTAAAATTATATGTACAGCTGAAAGTTTATCCGACTTAAACATGTGGTCTTGGTATGACACCCGTCCTTCTCATGCTTCTCCTGTACAAAGCATATCATCACCACAAGAACAAACAGAAAACTAAACTACTATAGCGATAGTACCCCCTATACCTCGATTAAGAAATAAGACAATGAAAGAATGATAAACTGACCCAACAGAAAGCTTAAAGAGAAAATAAACTCAAATGCCTTACAATTATTAGAACTTATACAATTCACTTAAAATATTCAGAGCACGAATGACTGCACATATAAACAGATGGTTCAT